CACATTTAATATATTTCCAAAAGAAAATAAAAACTATAATCTATTTAATTCATAATGGGCGGGGCTGTTTAAACCGTGGCTAGGTTGTGTTTAGTTCCTTGTTTTGTTTACTTCGGATACATTTATTTTATTGCCAAGTTTTTATTGCTTTTCTGACTGACTACTTTTGTTGCCACTACAAACAAATTGCCATATACCAACAATAACAAAAGTGTTGGTATAGACATGTAAACCGCAGGAATAGACATTATTTAGCTATACAGCCTATACCAACGGAAATTTATGCAATTCCAACGAAATTTTGATTGTCAATATACGTCTCGTAGGTATAGACTTAAACCAACACATTTTCTTACCGTCGGAATAGCTCATTAACTTATACCAACAAAATAGTGACCATTAGTAATTACATTTACCCGTTGGTATAGGCTTGGAGCAATTTTATATAATTTTATGCTATAGCATCACTAGATATACCATTGGTAGTGTTCTATTTTATATAGAAATAATTATGAAATAATTTACAACCACCCACAATCCAAAATAGAATTAAAAGTTGCAATTAAAATTAAAAAAATCATTCAAAATTAGTAATACGAGCCTTTTTCTAGAGTCAATAACATTCATACTCCATAAAAAGTATCATGAAGTAACAATATTGATTTTTTTACAGAAATATAAATGGAATACAAGTCTTTTTGTAACATTAGTCGAGTAATAATAGTGGAATTATGATTGCATTTGAAGTAGAATGCGTAGAGCGTTTTCCAAGTTGCATCCCTCCATGTCTGATTGTCTCCATATGCATAACAATACTTCAAATGAAGAACTTTGATTTGCTAGATATGAGATCAAATCTTGAAAACCTACAATTACAAAGTTCACATCACTTCAATCAGCTATGTAACTATGAACTTTTTAGGCTTATAATATGTTTAAATAACATTACTGGGGTTTATGAAAATAAAAACATAACATTACAAGTGACATATTTTGCGCAATTGATTTACATACTTCATCAAGCCTGCATGCAATGGTGTAAAAAATGCTAAAATATCTATAGAGTTAAGTGGCTGGTATACAATACATCCAATTGATTTATTGAAACTGTACACATGAAAAAAGCTCTTATAGATTGTATGTGAGGCTTCAAGTAGTAGATACTGACAAGTAGTCCATGGGGCAAATAAATATTTCAATGCAAACGGAAAAAACTCACATACAAAATCTATCTGCTACAATAACACTTGATATAGCTATAATTTTCATGCAAGTTTTAATAGTTGATGAAAACGAGACAAAAGAGTAGTTGTGTTTGCCGCTTTGTTGTTTTTAAAGTATTTAAATGTTTATTTACTTTTTGCCGCTATATGAACTAAGAAGTGCAAAAAAACGAAACTGGGAGGGAAAACAGTGAGAAGAAAAGAAAAAACTGGATAAAAGAGGCTGGCATAGAGGATTTGGGTCTATATAACTGCAATTAATTTTCTGAAGAAGTTTAGTTTTACATTAATAATCAAATACGGAGTACATTCTTTGATGACTCCTAACTTTTCAACATGAACTGCATCCTAAACATAACTTCAAATTAAAAATAATGGAGATATTGGAGAGGGGGCATTCATGTAAGAGATGAAGCCAAAATAACATATATCAGATACAAGTAGTTCATGGATGAATTCACTTTACAAGATTTAATGACAGCCCAAATGAAAAGTATCAGAAAATATAAGAATGATAGAAAAGATCTCTGCTATATAGCAAATTATTATTCAAAACAAAAGAACATGTTTTCGATGAAAAACTAAAGTGGGATTCAATCAATCAAAATATAGTGAAGGATGGAATACTTTATACTTACCGTGTTCCATCTTATTTGGTGCTCTGCTCATGTAATTTTCCAAAAGACTGAAATTGTCTGACTTTACAGTGAACAAACTCACCCCTAAATGAATATGAATTTCTTGCTTTTATCCCTGCATACACATCATAACAAGCGATCTTTAGTTAACATCTAAATGAAAAATATCTATCCCCTCCTGTGAGGAATCCTAGATCAGAAGATGCCGCCTTTTTCTCTTAACGATCTCAATCTTCTCCCTTAAACCATTTTGTATAAATACTAGCATGTTAAGCTCTATGCATGTGAAATGAATATGCTCTAACACACATTTTAACAGACATGAAAAGATGTCATACAACATTGATTGGCTATTGTAAATACCTTTCCTTTTTTTTGAAACTCTAATCAATCAGAATATGCAGACAATAAGAAGCAAACAAGCATTCTTTTCATTCCTCTGCCACTCGAAAGAATGAGTGTATACTAATAATAAAAAAGGAAAAAGGAAGCATTGAGAAAAAATGATTTATACAAGGCCACATGGTATCCCTCTAAGTGATGTAATGCTTCCTAGAATGGAAGCCTATTGGAGATCAGGCCATCTGGTCCACCTTTCTTCGTCTTCTTTTTCCTAGCAGGGATTAGTCTCACATCCAAGAATGACATGCAATTAACAACATATTTGATAAGTTCCTATTACAACACACATTTGATGCGTGTTGGGGTCGGATTTTGATGGTTTATCTAGTTTTAAGTCGTTGCAAGTCTCAATTTTAGCTCAAGTTGTGTTTACCAGGTGTTGGGTCGAGTTTTGTTGCATTTGGAGTCAAAATCAAGGAATTTGAGCCTGACACCGGCACTTGAGGAACAATCGGGATGATTTGAAAAGCATTTGAGATTGATTTGAGAGCTTTGGAGATCACCGGGAGGTTTACGATGAAGATTTGATCACAAAAGAGCTCTAGAATTGGTTACGGGATCAAAAGAAGACGAATAGAGCTTGAAAACGACGATCAGGATGACCTTCTTTCAATTGTTCAAGCATATCTCTTTTTAGAAGCATCCAAAGGACACGATTCAATTTGCATATGAAAGCCAACTTCAAGGGATGCAAATCATATGAAGACATCATTCCGAGAATCTGAGAGGCGAAAGGTGAAAACAGACGATGAAGTTTGATGATCGCTGTTGAGATTTCAGAATGACCCCTTCCACCATTTTGATCATATCTCTTGATTAGATGATTCAAGTCACATTCGGCAAGTTGTGGTGGATAGATGACTTCATTATCTACAACTTTCATGAATGAAGTTTTGTCAAGTTCGGAAGTTTGACGCACGCCGTGCGTAGGGGAACGCACGACCGGCGAGAAAGCAAGGAAGACACTGCCACCAACGGGTTACGCAAAATTGAATCCCAAATCGGCCCGAATTCATATTCCGCCCCCCTTTTTTCCTATAAATAAGGCCTCCCTAACTCTTTTTTGGGGTGAAGAACATTAAGGAGAGGCCGCCTAGTGATGGCAACGGGGCGGATCGGGGACGGGTACACATAAAACCGAAACCGCCCCGTTGGATAAATGTTTGCACCAAAACCGCCCCATTATCCGTTCGGGTAATTTTTATTTGAACCGTACCCGCCCCAACGGGGAATCAGTTTATCCACGGGTAACCGTTTCCCCAAATGATGCCAAATAACCATTTTTTTGGAAAACAAATAACCAATTTCTAATCCTACTTGTTATTTATATATTCAAAGCACCCTTAACATACAAAAGTAAATATTTAAGCAATCAAGCAGACTGGCCTAAATCCATTAGTATGACATGCACCTAATATCTCTTGTAACATAATAAAAAGGTAGTAATTATCCCAGAATCCAAATTCCAAAAACAGGTTTAGGCCTATATTTAGTTTTAGGCCTAAAAAGTAGTATACTTTTTAGCATTATTTATATGATAATCCGTATATACTATTTAGTATACACAATTTAGCATATATACTTATTATTCTTATATATAAAAAGTTATAATTTATTAATAATGTTACGGATCGGGTAACGGTGCGGGTACCCGCACCATTAGTGAACAGGGCGGTTTCGGGGCGGATTAGTATAGAACCATAACCGCACCATTAACCATTTAAAAAATTCGGGTATTCTCCACCCCATACCCATTCCCCAGTCAAATCGGTTTTCCCTAGTTTGACCAAATCGGTTCGGTGCGGGTATCCAACGAGTCGGCCGAAATTGCCATCTCTAACTGGCCGCCTAAAGACGATTTTACCTCATCACATGTTATCATCTTCTTTATTTGTATCTTTTTCATTCTCTTTACTTGATCATCCTCTTTTCATCCTAATCTATGGACATGTGCTCCACCAATATCGTATTTTCCGCTTCTCTTTCGAATAAAGCATCCTTAAATGCTGATGCTGGATTCCTTGTCAAAACTAAAATAGATATCCTTCATCTTTGGGATATTAAACATCTTAATTAGTCCTTTCTTAGATAAGACAAGTACTTAATATTTATGTCACACATAGCCCTATAATTAAATAGGCTAGTTATGCACTCTTAGGGCTCGTTTGGCAGTTTACACGTCAAACTTTTGCACGCGAAGTGATGACATGCAAAGTATAGAGAAACAATCATTTTGCATGCAAAATAGATTACATTGTTTGGCTAGAAGTGTAATTTATTTTTAAATTGCACGCAAAGTGGATGGAATGCTTCATAAAAGACATGCAAAGTATTTTACTCCCCGCCACGTAAAATACATAGTATTTTACATAGTACAGTGCGAAATGTTTTAAAAAAGTGCCCTACAATTTACATTAAATAATCAAACCAAACATTGTAAACATTTTACGTCTTTACACTTCGCATGCAAAATAATTACGAAGTATTTTACATCCTACCAAACGTCCCCTTAGAAAAAAATTTGTTTTAAACTTTTCACTTATCTAATAAAGGATTCCCACTGTCCGAACTAACAGTCTAACACCCCCAATAACATTTTGTTAGATACTTTTTTTTGGACTTTTACTAAAAATATTATACATACAAATTCAATTTTTAAGGGAATTACATTTAAAACTCGTATCAAATACGCAGAAAAAAATTAAAAAACAAAACTGATATCCAATTTAAGAGTGGTGCTACTTGTACACATAAGTTTTACACATGTTTGTACACATGCACTCCTAATTGCATATTTTATCAAATGGGACCATACAACACACAAATGATCAATGTTAGAATCTAAATTAATTGCTCCAAGTACAGGACTCAATGGAATGTCTGGTTTAACCAGCTAGAGAGACTGTCTTGAGATCCAAATTGCAAATCCTGCAAAGAAAACTCTGGTGGACTGTCCAGTTCCAAGTTCAAAAGATCAGAAATACTAGTTGAGTTTTTGCCATCTCCCTCTGGAATTTGATTATTGAGGTTAGCAGAATGGCCATGATTAGACGGGCGATTGTTAAAATTATTAGAACTGGCAATTTCATCAGAAGTCAAGAAACCATCTATGGCATTGTCATCAGCAGCCAAACATGCTGCTAACTCTTCCCACTGGACTTGAAAATCTTGGGGATATGTATATTGTCTCTCCTTGGCCACCTCCACTCCCTACACGGCATGAACAAATGAATTCTTATTTATATACATACCTAAAAACTATACATATTATCAATACTTGAAATATATGTTAGTTTGTTATCTCATATTTAACCAATGTGGCATATATACTCTTCAACATAATTTAGCCTGGAAATGTTCTTCAAATACTATTATACGGAGTATAATGTTATGTTATTTTTAAACAAAACACTAGCTTTTGCATACTATAGATAATATGTTTTCAAATTTTCATGAATTCTAACTTGGGTCAAATTTTCTTCTCGCACGCCCTATTAGACGATCCGTGTCAAAGTTAGGAACACGTAATCATAACTACACGAGTGTTCTGAATGAGCACAAAGTACGCAGATTAGGAATGTTATTATGATCTCTAAATGATGAGCAAAAGAATAAACTTGATTACTGCAATGTTGGAGTCATCCATATGAATGTTAAATAAACCGAGTAAAATTGAGTTCAAGACAAACCTCAATAGGCGACAAAGCTACGGACTGATCGCAAGAAGGGGTTTGTCCAGCACGAGGCGGATTAGGGATTGCAGTCATGGGAGTCCTCGGAATATCCTGGGCAGTCCACATATCAGATTCAGCATTAGGTAGAAGAAGAGTGTCGTCCACATTCTTATCGTTCTGCTTCTGTTGATAAAATATCTTACAGACCACATATCCACCTTCTTTTTCGTCCAAGTCAGTTCCTAGATGGTATTGGTGCATCACCCAATTAGTCTTATAAGGTCTTTCTCTGTTCTTGGCACTCCTATATAGTACCATTACCTTCTTGCACCCCTTTTGAACTCCATTTTCCATCACAGCTTTGGTCTTACCTGTCTTGTGCCAACGAACATGCTCTATCATCAGACTCTTCTTGTCGGTAATCTTTCTACACTTTCGTTTCCCAATAGCATATGCCTTCTTAGTCCGGTAAAAGAAGTGGATGCTGCTTCCATCTTTTTTGGCCCCTAGATCGCATAACGTGTAAACAGATAAAACACTGTCAAAAACTCAACATGGACTAAACCCAAGCCTCCAAACATTTTAAGGTGACAATTAAGACTTGGGGTTGCGATACATTTTATTAAGATTGAGATTCCACAATGGTGACTCATTGGAGCTTGTCTGCTATATTAAGACTCAGAGGGTTCCATTGTATAGAATGTGATTGCATCTTATGTTTGTTCAGTGTGAGATGATTTGATAATTCTAACTGAAATAAGACATGAAACGCAATGTTAGGCTTACCTGGAAGGTTTTCTGGATGAGTATAGCAAATTCCTTCCTCGTACTGGAGTGTCGGGATGAACTCATCCAGAAATATGTGTGGTTCAGAACTTCCTTCCCCGCATTTCGCTGCCAAATGTTCTAAGATCTCAACATCAGATGGCTCAAATTTTACACCAACAGGAAAACCAGGCCACTCTGGGTAAATCTGAATCACAAAACCGGAACAAGAGTCACTCTCTCATCATTAAAATAATTTGCAGATAAAAAGATTATGTAAAACAAGGAAAGGAAATCCTGACATCTCTGTTATCAATGAGGTGATGACAATTTGGACATTCACGGGTAACTACGCAGCAATCTTTGATTCCATGTTCATCAGGTACAGATGCATTTCTCACTTTCTGTGCAAGCCCTCTGCTATTAATCAGCCAAGGCCTGTTACAGTTCAATAATCATCACTGGTCAGGAATTTATGATGCAAATTTATGATTTGAAATATTTCCTCTTTTGGACAAACAAAGTAAACTGGGTTCTTGACAAACCATATTTATGATCATTTTTTAGAATGTTTGAACAAAAAACTGTTTTAGAATGTGCCTAGTCTCTCAATCAATCCCATTACTTGATGAATATCATCCCCATAAATCACAACCGATAAGAGCCTTAACATGTAAGAAGTCAAGTTCCCATTCCCATTCAAGGTCAATCGATGAGATACATAAACAAGTACTTTTCTAGTTTATCAAATGTATTTGAAAAGAAAATGGCAATGCAATGTGGTTTCTCAACAGGTTAAGAATTAGCAATAACAAAGAACACTCTGAAACTCAAGAAAGATTATTTAATAAGATCATCATCATCATTACCCGGTGTCGAAAAGGTTCCCACCTATTGTGGCGTAAGGGAAGATTGTTTAAAAAGATAAACTTGTTAATTCATGGCTAAAAATTTAACTTTTGGCATTAAAAAATTAAAGGGGTCTTCAAAAAGCAAATTCAATTAACAGGGAAAATCTTCATAAATCACAAAAATAAAAGAATCCCAGAATAGCTCAATCTCCAGCATTTGCTTATTCCAATTCCACAAAACCCCCCAAATCGAAACACTGATAAAATGGCATTCATCTGTAATTTCATCAGGTTGAAATCTTGAATCTACCTTCCCATACATAAAGCATTCAAGAAGAATAAAGATTTCTTTTTTATTCAATCTGAGTTCCTAAAAAACACCCAAGAGTCTCCGTCTTCATTAATTAGTAGTTGGAGTCAAAGCCATTTGTACTCAAAGAGAAGGTCTTTCACCCTCTCTGCAGATAAGTTTCGGTTCTCCACTTAGCTAAGAAATCGAGTGAGAGACTGAGAGAGGCCATGTGTTTATAGGGGGAAAACCGGGCTCTGGAACATCAGTAATTTAGGAAAAATTGTCATGTTTGAAGCCTTATAATGCAAACTTGGCAGAAATTTAGGGAATAAAAAACATCAACACTCTTATTTTGGAATTCAAAACATTTTTACTCAATTCAATCTATAAACATCTCTTGTTCTATTACTCGCGGAGGTTCAGAGCCTGGAAAACTGAGCCTAGTAAATGACAGTGGACCCGCTGTAGCTTGCACCCCAAGCTACAACCCTGAAATCATGAGTCCGTTTGCTTGGAATTACGAATCCAATACAGCGTTTTTGCGCTGTTTCCAGTCTTTCTTTCAACGCGGAGAGGGGAGGGTTTTACTGTAATTTTAATTAACATAATTTTCTGGGAAAAGTGTTTTGCTATTAATTAAAATCAAAATATTGGACACTTATTAATCCAACAACACTCAGAATTGGAACCTCCGTCCCTATTATATCTTCCAAATTTGGTTTGGCACACAGTTTAAGATAGTGGATATTGTGTGGTGGAGAGGAGGGAGAAATGTGTAAGAATTATTGTAAACCACAAATTCTGGCCAAAAAGGGAAAGTGAAAGTTTTAATTGGGGCGGACGAAAAAGTAAAGTTGAAAGTTTATTTAGGAACGGAGGGAGTAGTAATTACACTTCCACAAAGGATTCACTGCCAGCTATTGAAAGGATTGGAAGCTTCTCATACAATCTCTCTTTTGGCTTCCCACCATAAAAGAAGAAATTGGGGTTGTTTGGGGTATTGGTTTTTTAGGGAAAGTTTTCAAAATAGGACTAAAATAGTTTGAAAATTCCAAAATAGAACTGTCATTTTTTATTCCAAAAATAAGAGTAATTACTGTCAAGTTTGGAAAATACTACCATGTTTGAAGTCTGGTACTGTCAAAACATTACAGTTTTTAATCCTATTTTGGGAATAAAAATATGATAGTTCTATTTTTGAAATTTTCAAACCTTTTTAGTCTCATTTCGGGTAATATTTTCTTTTTTTACTATCCAAAACGCCAACTTTTAAGGGGGAAATGCTACAATAAGCACCGTGTTGGGGTACAAACCGCCAGTAACCAAACTAACCCCATTGACAAAACCCCACACACGGAATAATTAAGGTAGTGTTAAGAAATTAATACTCTCTCCCTATTTAAAAGTTTGCTACACTTTTCATTTTGGAATGTATTAAAAATTTGCTACATTTTCCCTTTTTGGTAAGTTTCTCCTTAAAAATACTCAGTTAGTCTTACTTTTTTTTTTTACCTTTTATCTTCTGTTTCAAATTTTTTCTCCTTCTCTCTTACTTTTTCTTCACCATTCATTACAGAGGTCCGAAAATTAGTAAAAAGAATCTCAAAACTCATAAAATAGAGGAATGGGAGGAAAATAAGAAAAATCAACTTTATAACTCATAAGAGGAAGAGGAAGAGGAAGAAGAGGAGGAAGAGAGAGAGAGAGGGACCTGAAATATGGAGAAATCGACGATATGCAAATGGTGGAAGACGGAGGAGACATAGGCTGAGACGATGAAGACGGAAGCTGCGAAGACAGCATGTGTGGTGGAGGCGGAGAAATCGACGAATCTACACGGTGAAGGGGTTGTAATGAAGGCTTCGGTGGATGCGAGTCTATAAGCGTGAATGCATCGATGGATCCGAGGCTAGGAGAAAGGAGAAAGAAAGGAAAATAGGTGCAAGGGCGAAATTGGGATGCTACTTTCCTTATGTTTCATAATAGGAGTAAATCGGTCTTATTTAGGAAAAAAAAACATATAAAGTCTTATTTCATAATTCCTGTTTTTCTGTACACAAAACCGTCTTTCCCATGTGTCGTTCAACATCTTAATAATGTATTAATTAGCCTTAGTGCGTAGAAGACCGAGTGATGCAACTGTTAGACGACTTGAGGGGTGGAGAGAAGAGACAGAGAGGTAGGGGGGGGGGGGGGGGGAGACCCAAACAGACTTGGATTAGTGGAATCAGAACTGGTTTTCTTGGGTTGGATGAGAGTATGGCTTTGGAAAGGACAAAGTGGAGGACGCACAGACGTGTGGACGATTAATCTTTTTTCTATTTTTCCTCTCTCTTTTTCTTTTCTTTTCTTTTACCGCTTATCTCATTTGTCTTTTTTCATGTTCTTATGTTATTTTTATCTTCTCCCCTTTTAATGTTACTTTATCTTTCTTATATTCTTATGTTATTGTTATCTTATATTTATTTATTTGTATCATATTCGTTTTTATCCTTTCTTTTCTTCTTGTCTGTCTTCTTCTTTTGACATCAATATCATGGATCGTTGCATGTTAGCCGACACCAAAACTTTTTGGGATTGAAGCTTGGATGCTGTCGTTGAGAGAGAGAGAGAGAGAGAGAGAGAGAGAGAATAGTTATATACGAGTAACATATAAGGGAAAAGGTACAAAGATATTCATGTAGTATGAATGTGAGAACAAATATACTCATGTTCTATTTTTTGGAACAAATATATCCTTGAAGTATATATTAAAGTGCATATATACACCCCTGAACTTTTAAAAAGTGCAAAACTACTCCTAATGTTCTTATAAAGGGGAAATTTTATCCTTATTGACTTAAATAGATAAAATACATTTCAAACAACACCAAAAATATATTAAAAATTCAAAATTTTAAAAATAAAGATTTAGTATTTTGTTAAAATATTAACTCTATAATTGAAAAATTATTATTTTTTCATTGTAAATGAAGCATTTCAAATTCATAAATACTACGGGTATTAATTTTAGTCTTGTTGCGAAATTTTGAACGCATCGTTACATTTTTCGGAATATCATTCTTTGATTTTGTTTAACCCTAATAAAATTAAATTCACTATTTTGTAATCTTGAGCTATATATCATCATACAAAATATATAATTTTATAGTGCAAAGAATGCAAAAAAAATTAATATATTTTTTTACATTGCAACACATATGTTAACACTTTTTCGAAAGAATCTTAAATATATAGTAAAGATTTGAAATAATATTTAATACTGACAATATCAAATTGTGATATAAAAACAATAAAAGGGAGAACTGGACAAAATTACCCTTTTAATTTTTTTATTTTTTAATTTCGAATGTATAATCTATTTTTGGAGTTTTTTTGAAATATATTTTATCAATTTAAAGTAAATAAGGGTAGATTTGCTCATTCATAAGAACATGAAGGATATTTTTGCACATTTTTGCACGTCTGCCTGGGTGTCACGTGAAAAAAAGAGTAGTATAATTATATTTAATACTCTAATATATATTCTTTATATATATATATCTTCTACAATCTTATAATCCCCAATGAGGGTTAGGGCAATTTAGGTAGGAAAAAAATGTTGGTGTAATCACATTGTTTAATTGAGTTGCACATTAAGCTCTACCAGTTGTACTTTTTATTAATATGCCTGCCTTTCCGTTTGTTACTCTCATTACCGTCAGCATCTTTCCGTTTGATAACTATCTCTCATCCTCGGCAGTTAAAGCTCCTCATATTGTCCATTTGACATGGCTTATCTTCTACTCCCTCCGTCCCGTTGGAATGTTCCCGTTCGGTTTACGATGCTTGACTGACGATAAAGCAACTCGATCCCTGTTCACACTCCGCTTATTTTTAGTAAATAAAATTTACATATTCAGAAACTATATTAAAACTGCTACAAAGCCTGATCAAGAAAAGTTTAATTTGATAAAAATTTGATATATAAAGTAAAAGATTAGGAGTGACCTAAGTTGACCAATGAATAGTGAATGAGAACATTCCAACTGGACAGAGGGAGTATTTTCTCCCTCCGCACTAAGCTTCTGTGCTATTGATTTCTTTCGTAACTGATGATTCCAATTATGATCCCAATCAATTCCCATATTTAATATGACTCTAATTGATCTTCCTCTTCATCCTTTCAACTTCTTCTGAGTCGGCGATATGATGGTATGAATTTTGTCAAGGCTTCCGCAATTCCTCACAGGTTCACAACCTTACCATTGTTACCAGCTTCTGCTCCCTCTTGAAGTCCTTAGTAAGTTGTTTGCCTCTTGCTTCATATCTTTGCAATTCATTAATTTTCGTCACCAGGTTACAATGACCACCAGATTACAAGTGAGCCCGTCATATTCAACTAACAATTGAATGAAGACATCTTTCCTTGTCAATCTATATCACTAGGTTACGTTTTTACCATGTGGAGTAGTGCTCTTCGTTTTTCCATGTTAAAAGGCATAGCCTAAAGGTTGTCTTTAAAAAAACTTAAATTCAGATTGGTTTAGATATGCAAATCTCATTTTTGAGCTTTTCTTGTATGAAATTGACTGCAGACTTTAATTAATTAGAGGAGATATATTCCGCTATAATATAGCACACAAAGTGTTTGTCAATTTGTCTAGCTTCAATTCTTTGGGTTTTTATGGTTGGTCAACCCAGTTCTATGAAAATAGTATGTAGAGTTTAATTGGGAGAACAATTGAAACAACCAGAATCCTTGTTGAGGAGAAATTTGAGCATCAACATCCAAAGTCGAACACCACTCGATATACGGGTGAGATAGCTTAGATTGGTTATTTTGAATGCCCACGGATATGGGTTAGGTTAAGGTTTTGAATCTAAAATCATATCTATAGGTAAATGATCGCCCAAACTAATACAAAGTACTCCAGGAAATGGTCTTATCACTTTCTATGTCACCATGACAGATTAAAACAAAGCATTTCATTTTTTTATGCATGTTAGCTTGAGGGAACCTCTTTGTCTTGGTCCTGGTGATGATGAACTAATAGAGATAGTTGGATTCCAGATTTCAAGTATCTTATTGTATTTTTTCCTGCCGATAGCAATTATAATTATTTTCTTTTATTACCCATTTATTTTCACTTGAGTTTGGTTCAATTAAGTACGTGATATATCTTCATTATAGTATGTGCCCGCTAATCAAAAGTTGTTGGAGTGTGGGCTGTGTGGTGACTAAATGTGTTGATTTTTTAAACAAAAGAGTTACAATACATTCTTCTCACCATTTTTATTCATTCGTTATAAAAAGTTTTGTGGGATGAGCGCATTGTCCAAAGTTGTACCTTTCATTAGTGTACTATTAGAAATAGATCTGGTTAAAATGAAAGATTATATTTTTAGGAATGAAATGGATAGATTTTTTGTTCAATGGGTTTCAAATGGAAACTGTTAACCTTGTGAATATTATTAGTCTGTCAGTTTTGTGCTCATGGGGAAACCTTAAAAGATATTATGCTTCATATATTCTTACGAGCTTATCTTTTCAAATGTCATTGGTTTGATTTGTATTATTCATTTATTTGTATCATTGTACAAATCATTACATATGAAGTAGCATTTTAGATGCCCACTCCAAA